CAAATCCCAAGTCACGTGGCATCGGTTTCATGGGAGGCGAGGGGCAACCAAGCCCACCCGTGTGATCTGGTAGAGCAGAAGCAGGAGGCCTCATCCGAGTGGGGAACGTCATCAGCATCTGTTCCATGATGTTTTCAATTTCTCCTGTCTGTATGTGTTTTTCATTGGATAATTCAAGCGCTTCTCCCCAAAGTCCCAAGTCATGTGGCCATGGCTTTGGTGACAGGTGACTGAAATGAATTCTGCATCAGGGAAAATGAAGCAGCGTGAGGAGAGTGGTGTGTGAGAGACAGAAAGAAGCAAATGCAAATCATTTCACGCTTGACCCCTTCTTCCCCACCAGTGACCTTTGCTTCACGGTCATCCTCTGTCTCAGAAGCTAGAAGTCCTAAGACCTGTGGCCTGTGTGTCCTAGCTGTTTTGCAGGAGGCTGCGCTTGAATCGGAAGAACCGCCGAGTCTGCAATCATGTTGTATCAGCTTTGCAGCTGCAAAGAACCCGAAGGACCGGAGACAGTATTTCTAGCTCTTTCAATACACAGTACACGCTTATTTAAATATTAAAGAATATATATAGAGAGAGGGAGATAGAGGAAGATGGGACCAAGGTTTTGTGGTGTTGTCTGTTTCTTTCAATCAACTTAAATGGTGCTCTCTTTGCCATTGGCAGCGGGCTGCGCAGGGCAACGTTGATGTATCAGATGCTGTTGGCACCATTGGCACCTGTCAATTTGGAGCAAAGTGGCCAAGGTTGTACAAAAAGGTGGTGCCAGAGCCTACTAAGGCACAATGCTTGCAAGAAGCTTTTTCCTGGCCGGCCAAAGTCAAAAAGAACCTGGACAGGATTGTGGAAGGCAGCCGTGATGCTCGCAACTCCATTCTCCTGTCAAGGCGAAGGCTTGAAGTCACCTCCAACTTTAGCGGCATCTGCAGCCAATCACGTGGATGCGCCATTCTCGAATCTCATGGTTATGGATGCACATTCCATCACAAATCCTTTTGCGAAAAAACCAAGCAGTGTCAGCAGAAACTTGCACGTGATTTTGGTGCTGCGTGCATTTTCAAGGATCAAATGCACCTCATAGACACTACAACGCATCTTCAGCTGCAAGCCGCCACTAAGTTTGAGGATTGCATGGGGATTTTGGAGCGTGTGAACCTGAACACGACCGCTGGATGTTCCCGCCACGGTGGTCGATGCTTGATTCCAACTCGGCCAGACCTGAATCTATTCGGTGCTCCCTGTGTGGATGATTCATCGATGGGATCGCATTCCATGGATCAGGGCATTGCAAGGAAAGTCACTGGCCTAAGTCAAGAGAGTGTGTGTGTGTGCGCCCGTATTCCCTATTTGTGCTTGTATATCATAAGCCATTTTATTTCCATGTGCTTTGATGTGCGGTGGCATGCTGTAGGCTACATTGGTGCATCTCGCAAGCTTGAAAAAGTTTGTGAAGCCAAGAATCATGATATCCGAGAACGTGAGCACTGGAAACATCAATGAGCGACTAGTACAGGTTCTTCATGAGGACTATGATTCACGAGATCCTTGTGAGCAGTTGTTTAATGTTTTACTTTTGTGAAATGGAACACCCAAAATGTTTTGCACCGGCTAATGACATAGGAGGGTGGGGGATCAGTCTTTGTTTGCAACCATTGCTTTCAACACTACTACTGTTCCAACAAAAGTCTGCTTGACCTATCTCAGGTTATATTTGGTGAGCCTTCAGACGTGGGTTTTGGCTGTATATCAAGACGCCGCACCTTCACTGTACTTGTCGATAAATCCCAAGGTCGATTTCTTGCAGACCCATCAGTTGTGTACCAAGCCCTTTGCGCTGGTTTGGCAGATGCCCAATTGACAATGTCTGAGTTGTCCAAGGCAGCAGGTCCTCAAGACCTAGATCGGGAGTTGGCTCAAAGTGGCAACAGTTTGGATGCCTACCCCAACAACATCCTGAGCAACTTTGAGCTGAAGAACCAGCAGAAGTATGAGGAACTTGCGAAGGATCTTCCAGAAGATTCCGTTGTCAACACTGCGTATTGTCTGAATCAAAACCCAGACCATCGGCGCAAGCTTGCATCTGATGGAGTGCTTCCAGCCCTGACCAAGACTGACAAATTAATTTGGTTGAGAGGACAAGGACGCCATATGCTAGCAAGTGAGAAATTCGCTGCGCACAGCTGGGCTGTGAAGGAAGACCTTGCAACACTGTTAGGCATTCCTGTATTTGATCCGTACACTCTCTCCAACCCGCACCCTGTAATTGGAAACGGGCAGCACGTTGCCGTTGCTGCTGTTGTTGTGGCAGCCGCCTTGTTATCGATTGAATTTTTCCAGCCCATTGTCCCGGAGATGCCTCTCACAGCACCAGCTGATGATGGAACCGCCGATGCTATGGAGAGCGATTCGATGGAACAGGCCTGTTTTGTCCTAATTAACATGTCCTAACATATGGACATTTCTATCGGTAGCTTCCTTGGGTTGGCGTCCCCTGCCCTACCATCCCTTAACCTAAGTGCAAGCCTAACTCATAAAATTGGTAGAACGGCGACAGGTACAAGCTGATCACCCACAACTGAAAGTTCATCGCGACCGAGTCCTTCTCGAGGTGGAGGGTTTCTTCAGAAGGGTCTTCGTGCCACAGGATGCTAAGACTCTCCGGGCGGCGGCAGACAAATTGACACCCTTAGCCACCGCATACCAGACTCTCAAGAATGAGCTTCTATCTGCAAACAGGACTGCTTTTGTCAACCTTATTCTGGTGTATTTTGCTATGATAGATTTGCATTTGCATTGAGAGGCCTATGTCTCCACGCCCTAGGTCACGTAGAGTACACACACCTTTCTTGTGAATGTTGCTCCAGTGGTGTTGGAAGGACACAGCTGCGGGACAAGTGCAAATCTGCAGGTCTCAAAGTCAGCGGAAGCATGTCTGAATTGAAACATCGATTGGCTGTGCATCACCTTGAGTCAGTGGAGAAGCAGGCCAGGCACTGGTGAGACAGTATATATATATAGAGAGAGAGAGTAGGGATTCTACTTTGGGATGTGAAAACAACTTTCTGAAGCTTTTCAGGAGAACCGGGTCTATACAGCTCTTACCAAGCGTGCGCATGCACAAGCCTGAGATTTGAGAGTAACCTCTTTTGTCCTATGTCATGTGCACCTG